CTATCGGATTGCAAACGTAAGGTCTGAAGTTCCAGCTTTCGGGCTTAGATGCAGACACGCAGCACTGGGCTCCAGCAGAATGTAGTGTCAATTTAAATATGAATTCCTCACTTAGTAGGAGACATGTTGGCCTTTTTAGGCATCTTTAAAACTAACTGGAGCTTCTTTTTTTTTTTCCTGTTGTGGCGCGCCTATGACAATCAGCACAGCAAACACGTGCACGCACACATAGAGCAGGGGACAATAGGAGCCATTCACATGCGAAACAGGATCCCCTAATTAGAAACTGTTGCAAGTGTTTGTCAGTCGCGTTATCAAAGGCAAAGAGCAAACTGGCCCTGTGGCATCTGCTCTCGTAGAATTCTGCATCAGCCAGAAAGGTTAGAGGTTACAAGGCTCCTTCTATCTGTGCGGATAAAGAGTCCTCTGCACTAGGACACATGCTTTTTTTAAAAAAAAAGGCACAAGTGCAGGCAGCATCAGCGTTTATTTTGTGCATTAGGTGCATTTGTGCATTATTGTGTTGCATTAGGTATGTAGCAGAAGCCTTTATCCAGCTTCTGCAGACAGCAAGGGACAGAGACCTATGCACCGACAACTGCCACTATCCAGTCACGGACGGAGAACAAAGAGGTCAGGCAACTGCCTCGGGGTCACAAACACTAACTGTCCACACTGAGGCTTGATCCAGGAGTGTCCTCACAGCGAGACCCTTTCCTGAAACTCTAGGCCAGCTAGCCCGTGTTTAAATGTAAAAAGATGGCGCCAGGACCTCATGGGTCACTTCAGGACAAGAATGAAGAGGTGAGAGGTGTCAGGCAGGAAGCCGTAGCTTCGTGCTGCAGGGCGAGTGCGCCGCAGTAACAGCCCACAAGGCCCGAGGCCCCCGAGGTGTCGCGCGCGAGTTCTGAGAAAGCCTTCCATTCACGAACACGGCTCTCAGTCGGGCGCATGAGAGAGACGCAAAACACGAGCTGTGACATTGCAACAAGTCAACCGCGTGGAGACACATGGACTGAAAGTGAAACCTGAGGTCGAGGCGCTGGGCTTCTCCTGGAGGTGGTGTAAGTGGTGGGTTCAGCACTGGTCAAGACTAGAGGGCCCTGCTGGGCGATAGTAGACTCAGATCCTCATTCTCGCTCGTCCTCTGCTGCTTTAAAATGAATACACCCCAAGGGGGAAAGACACCTCAATAACACTACTAATAAACCTGAAAAAACAAAAGAAATGCGCCCGTCCGGCGCTGCTCCGAGCGCAGAAGGCACACTGACGCTGCTCACACAGTTCCAGTTTCCTGAGTGAGTGTGACCACTCTGACCACCTGTTCCTGAATTCAGAGGAATACTTCCTTTTACCAACTCTCCTGTTCCACATTCGGACGAGAAAGAAACTTCCAGGTCTCAGCCACCCAGCATCTGTCTCTATTCGCTGGAAACGTCCCCCACTTTTATTACTCTTTTATGACTGTCAGCACTACCGTCTAATAATCATTCAATTTGTTTTATATTCCTGCTCTACATTTGTGCTCCAAAAGCCTTCAGGTCATTTATTACGTTACCAGTTTAATATGGAAATTATTTAAATGACATTATTATAAGGTGTACTACTATACAGAATAGGTCATAACAATAAGGACAGTAACGGCATAAGTCTCTTTAATCCCCTTACTAAAGTAATAGTAATTACTTTACTAAGGACTGGCCAGGCTGACCACTGTGTAAACAGGGTTCCAGTCCTAAAAACACTCCTCTGCCCCATGAGGAAGCAGGGTGAGGAGAGGCTACAGCTCTGGACTCATACCTGGGAGGTTGTGAGTTGAAATCCCAGGTGGGGCTCCCAGGAAGCCAGCTCCCAGTAAAAACCGCAGCAGTAAAATACCGCAGTAAATACTGGATAAACAGATGCAAATGTAAGGAGCTGTGGATAAAGCGTCCTATATGTAAATAACAATGTTATCCTTCTAACAGTTATTCATGAGTTCGAATGAATTATTTTCAGAGAAGATCAAATCCGCTCCACGCTCTCTCTACGGGATTAACATCGACCTGATCACTCAGAATCTCCCAGTTCGGCGCCGCAGGAGGGCTTGTGCTCCGGGGGAGTGAGGTTGTGGGAGAAGGGGTCCATTAAGACGAGAGGGGGGAGCTGCCCGGGGCTTGATTAGCCTCTCAGCAGCACTCCCATCCCGCCAGGCACAGATGGCTTCAGTGTTTTGTCTAACAGGATTAGGATTATCTGCAGATTCGACAGATGAGTTTAAGGCCCCCCCCACACACACACACAAACACGCACACGCCCCTCCCTGCCCCCGACAGCCTTTGTTGTACAGTTCACTCCAGCTCTCCGTGATAGTCGGGATAGGAAGATACAATGAGCTTGTTAGCCTTGCCATCACAATCCCTGCAGCGACCTCCTGCCAGAAGTGGGCATATATATGTGCAAACACACGCGGATCACAGGTGGCCAGCAAAAGCTCTTTACCAGAAGCATTTCATTTAAAGACACGCAGATAAGCGTGCTGGGCCTGATGAGAATCCTGAAGTGGGTGGGGCTGTGCACTGCATGCTTTAGCAAGTATTTATCATTACGCAAGAACATAAGAAGAGGCACAAATCAGAGGAGACCGCTTGGCCTGTTCTGGATGTTAGTTGCTAATGGATCCAGGAGTCTCACCCATCTGTTTCTTGCAGAAAGCCATGTGTCAGCTTCAACAACATGGCTGTGCAGTCCTCTCCCTTCTCCCACAACCCTCCAGGTAAAGATGATGGGACAAATGGCCCTGTCTCGACTGAAACTACCCTTAAGTTCTGATAGTTTATGTTTTTGCTGCCATCCTTTTAACACTCTGTTTATACTACATTATGTCTGATGTGTGTATTGAACTGTCTAGGATTATCTGCAAACCGTCAAGATCTGAGTTTCTGATAATCACTCCGAATTAGGAAAAGCAATGGTCCTTATACAGATCCATGTGGTACTCCAATACTTACATTGCCCAGATATCAACAGTCACCTCTGTTTTCTAGCCAGTATCCAGGTCTCAATCTAAATACATATATTAACTGGGAATCATGTCATCATCAACATGGGAAATATTTGTTTATATGGAATTTAAACCTGGAAATATCTAGCATATCTGGATCAGTATGCAACCATTACCGCTGTCACCAGTTTAGAGAACTCCAAAAGACCTACTTTTTCTGAAAACATGCTGCCTACGTTGTAGATTCTATTACTATGCAGATGATCCCCTAGTCTAGGTCTAATTATCTCCACTATGATCTTAAATCCAATATAATAAAGACTTGGTCTGTAATAATGTGGCTTGGTTTTGTCACCGATTTTGAGAATGGCTGGCACATTAGCTGTGTTCTGGTCGAGACCACTGAAACGGTTTTGTTAATGGTCTATAACGGTGGTTCTCAACGCCGGTACCTGCAGGTTTTTGTTCCACCTGAGCCTTTCATCACCAGCATCTGGCTGGCAGACTAAGAATTTTCTCCTTTATTTCTGATCTAAATGCTCCTAATGAGTGGGAACGACACAGTATCAGGCACAGCAACCAGCAAGTCCAGCTGGTCTCCCTGCAGCTGACGAACCGGAACGAGGGCAGTTCTGAAACTCCCAAACCAGCACACGGCCGATACCAACTACCAACCCCATTCAGCTTCTGAAATGAAACACAAAATTAATTATCCTGTAATTAAAAACTCATCTGGAGCAGAGACCAGAGGACATAGTTCTTCAGGACCAGGACAGAGCCACTGGTCTATAAATAACCACTCCTTTCCCATAGTGCGACTGGTTGAACACCATCAGCGCCTGAAGATTTGTTCATTTCAAATGCTTCTGTGAAACCTGTATGAAATTTCTGTCTTTTATATACATTTCCAGGGGATCTAGTCCTAAATAAAAAAAAAAGAAGGTAACCAGTTCAAAAAGAGAACACCGTCCTTGCTGGTGAAAACACACAGGAGCAAACGAAATAAGAGCTCTTCTTTACAGGGGTGTTCAGGGGCAGCTTTTAATTGCTCCAAGTGTAGCTACTGAACACGTTTTGATACTGAAAACCACAGAGCGCACAGTACACTCCGCTTTCCATATCAAGAGCAGGGATTTATGAATTATAAATACTGATAACAATTAAGAGCTCCAGTGCTCGACTAGCACTCCTTTGACAGGGGAAAGCAGAGGCTGATCTTTACTGTTGATGCTAACTACCCCCTGCTGAGCTGTCTGGTTAGCCGACAATGGGAAAGAGAATATCCGAATTGCTCACGTCGTGTAATCCAGGACACAAACTAGCACAGGGTTAGCCATGGTTACAGTGACCTACTTCCTGATAATCCATGCACTCACACACACACACCAGAAAAACACCTGAAGAAAGCTTTAGCACAGATGTCCTTTTTTTTTTGCTAGTGACACAACAAGTGCTGTTGCTCATATTCATCGTCACTAAAGTCGGGCCTCAAAACCCGTTACATTAAATCTCAGACAGACCACCGGCACACAGCACCCGGTTAGCAGGCAGCGAGTCAAACACGGAGCCCCACGGTTCAGAAGACAGCCTGGGGCACTGGTTTTTCTAACAGTGGGACGAAGCTGGCCAGCTCCCGCGCTGCCCCCTGACGAGCTCCGGCCTGTGCACTTCAATCCGCAACAGACAAAATTGCGAACACGTGTCTTTACTTCCTTTTCTCCACAGAAACAACGCTGGTTCATCACTCCTGTTTTCCTATTTGCGTTTTCTTCCATAGCAGCAATCTACCAAAGTTCTGGGGCTATAAATAGATGATCAATTGGCGTGTTACTACAGTGGCTTTGCCTGTGCTGAACTTACCCAAACAACAGCAGCTTTGCCCATGTTTGATTTATAGGCTGCTATTTTCAAGAATTGTGCGAGTTTACTCTATAAGCATACCCAACACACTGAGCTCTCAGCTGCCTGCCCCTAGGCAGAGAGAGTGCTCTTAGAAATAAGATGACAAAGACAGACAAAAATTTAACTTTTTAATTTTGAGTCTGGCAGCTAGCAGAAACCAAAGTGTTTAACTATTTTTATTTTTAAAAGACGCATTTCTGAAGGTGGACTTTTTTAACTATACACCCTTGCGTTTGGCATGCTGTAATTTGGAAGCATACTGATGAAAAACAGCAAAACTGCAATCATTATTTATTTTTTTATTTACTTGAAGCTTGTCACTGCTCTGAGAATGGTCTGTTTCAATTTATAGTTTGCTCTGAGAAAGCAGGGATTTGCACCTGAAGAGGAAAACCAGGAGTTCATCGGTAGAAAGCACTGTTGAAAATGTGTGCTTCCATCAAATACCGCCTACCAGAATGTGGGAGGAAAGTGAATTAAAATGTATATTGTATTGACAATTAGAACAGGTCTGCCTTTGTCTGAAACTATTAAAACAACGCTGAAGTGAAATCATCATTTCACTTAATCATTTAATCATTTTTGGTTAAAGAATTAACAATTAAGAATCCCCTTTTCACAGAAATGAAAATAAGACACGTGTATTAACGTTCAAATAACAGAAAGTAAATCATTTCAAACAACCCCCAAATAAGATATGGCACAGTCCATGTGCTCTATTAAAAACTTATTCAGCTCTCTTAAAAGTTCTCGAGGCTTCGGTTTCTCTGTCCAGCTGTGCTTCATGATAGTCCGTTAACTCCACACAGTCATATTTAAAAAAGCCTGGATCAATTTCTTGATTTTAATACAGTGCCTGGTATTCTCTTCACAGAACAGCATCACACTTCATCCAGATCCTGCAGTGGTGTGGGTCCCAGCACAGACGGAAGCTTCTACTCCAACTGACAGGTGTTTTAAGGCACCAAAAAAATGGAGGGAGGTACTGTATGTGTACAGGGGAGCTGAGTGGTATGCTTTGTATAGAATAGGTTCACAGGAGAGGCCAGGCACTAGGAAACAGCCTAATACAACCACTTTCCTCTGTCAAGGGGTCCAGGGTGAAGCGAAAAAACAGAAGGCACAATCATAATCAGAACAGTTTCTTCGGTAAATCCACAGCACTTGAAAATCAGATTTTGCTGGTTCAGGCAGAGGGTTTCAGGCTCAGCTGTAGGGATCCCCGTATCCTCAGAGGTCACCCGGGGCAGGGGAAGGTGCTGGCTGTCCTGGCGGTGGATGCCGTCAAGGGTGGTTGTTGGGGCCAGGTCATACAAACCTTGTGCCATGTCACTGGGGGAATCCCAGGCCAGGAGAAAGAGGGTTCTGAGGCTGAGTTACAGTGGATTCGGCCGCGCCTTGCCGGTGAAAACCCATCCACCGCCACCCACTGTGGATTCCCCAGTGTTTCCCCACCGATTTGTGACTTTCACCACACAGAGCCGCTTCTGCAGGAGGGGATTCCCCAGAATCCACTGCGAGAAGAATCCCACAGAATACCGGATTCAGCTGAAAAAACACCTCCCACCTCTCGCGGCACAAGAGCGAGCTGTCAGACTCAACGTCCGGCTGCTGCCCTTTCTTGGAAAAGTCCGCTGCGCCGAGCCGGGACTTCAGCCTCCTCCCATGAGGCTTCCTGCGAGCCGGCTTGCGACCCGCTGGGCTGGTGCAGAGGAACGGCAGTCCAGTCCGGGGCACTTCCTGAACGACGGGCCTGGGGCGGGTCAGTGCCCGGCTCTGCTTCTCCGCCGCGGACGCAGCCGAGACAAACACTGACTGACCTAGGGCCCCCCGCGGCCCGCCAGTCACACCGCGGTGCCGGCCGCGCTGTCCGTCCGGCAGGCCGGGTCAGAACCTGGGTGTATGTTAGCGACACCAGCCTGGCGAGGAGAGACACAGGAGGACCCCTGGGAGCCCGAAGCCGATTCCAGCTTCTTCTTCTTCTTCCTCACCTGGTGCAGGTGGCTCTTGGACTTCAAGTGGGCTTTAAAAAGACAAAGACAAGTTCTTAGCGTTCGCTCCACGGCGGCAGCCACGTTCTGTCCCTGCACCGCGGCGCGCTATCGCCGTGCGCGTGAAAGAGCAAGACCGGCTTTCGTTTCAAATGCTGCAGCGTCAGGTGTTTCAGCTGCAAACCACAGACCACTCCACCACACTTCTCACACGACGGCGGCTCCCGTCAGGTTTCAAAAACATCAATAAATAAAAACGATGTCAGATGGCGGAAAGGGACGAAAGAGACCCCCCCCCCCAGAGGAAGAGGAGGAAACGCAAAGCCGAGAGCTCGGGAGCCCGAGCCGCCGCCCACCTGTCCACTCCAGGTCTCCGATGATGACCCGCTCACACAGCTCGCAGGCGTGCCGGCGGCGCTTGCTGCCCCGCTCCTCGGCCCCGGGCGCGAGAGGCTCGGCGGCCGGCCGCTGCCCCTGCGGGGAGACGAGGGCAAAGCAGCGCTGAGCCATCGGGAGGGCGGAGCAACACCAAACCAGCCGCACCCAGAGCGTCACATATCTCCCCACGCCGAGCGGGGAACCCTTTCATGTCTAATTCCCTTCGTTTCCTTGACTTTTCTACGGATCACAGGGAGCACCTCATCACTGGTCCCTACGAGTGCCTGAAGCGCTCAGCTGCGTGCACAGAGCCCGCCCCTGTGTGAACTGCGCTTGGCTGGGTACGTGTGCCAGCTGCACCAGCCTGCTCTCCTCTTAAAGGCCTGTGTAACCTCCTGCCCTTTCCTTCATTCTTGTGCTGGAGCTCCTGCTGTTTCTGTGTGTCCTCGTTTAAAGCTTTTTGGAATATAAAACAATGTTAAAAACAGACAACAGGGCTAAAAATACACGTATATTAGGTATACGCATCTATGTTCTTAAAAAAAAGGCATTAGCTTGTGCAGAAACACATGCAATAGCAGACACAGTCGGTTTACAGGAAGATTTTGATAATTTAACCTCCTTCCTGGGCTATAAGGAGTCCAGCTAGAGCGCTAGAGTACTCTACACTAGTGCATACTCCAGTGAACTCCTGCATTGTGCTGACAGGCCCCCTTTCCCAGGTGAGAACATGCCACTCTATTCCATGTTGCCTGTCTGCACAGCTGGGAGATTCAGCTCTTCAATTTATCCACCAACGTACGGCGCAGAGTGGGCTTGGCTGGCCTGCTCGATCGGTTCACCCCTGGGGATAGAGCTGCTTGTGTGGAGGTGGGGCTGCTAGGGCCTGATCCCCGCTGATACCTTGCGCAGGCTGTCCAGAATCTGCAGGGCCGGCGCGAGGACCGTCTCGTCCCAGTGAGACACGTCGGTGACGTCCAGCCCATACACAGGAGGCGCGCTGGACCCCGGCCCTGCAAACACACACACACACGGTCACGTCAAGTCAGCCACGCCAGCCATCGGCCTGCACTGCTCCTGCAGCCACACTGCACGGCCACAAGAGCAGCAGCGTGTGGCAGCAAAGGACAGGGGGAAAATACGCTCCTCACTTGTTAATGGCACACGTTAAACCCTGACAGCCCTGATGACCAGCACACGGTCTCATCTGAGGGGCCCCTGTGGCTCCGTTCAGCGAGCAGGCCTTTTACTGTGATAAAGCGTGCAGCCTCAACGTCAGGAAAAACAACCCACAAAACTGCAAAGAAGCACAAAACAGTGGACACAAACACTAACACAGCTGGACCTTGCTGGGCAAGCAGAGCCTGAAGCAGAAAGCCAGACAGAACATATACAGCAACGCTGCAGGAAAACTGAGCAATTTCACTGGTTTGGGAAGAAGGGCACCCATTTTTATACAGCGTAGCACTTCAGATTTTGTGTCTCTGGCACCAACACAATATCTAAGAACAAAAACTTTACACCAATTTTGATTTTCTTCTTAAACAACAATCCGTAGCTTTCCAGTCCAGTTTCAGTTTTTTGCATTTGCATTTTTTTCTGTTTTCTCTATTTTCTGTTTATGTCTCCATGCAAACCCCAACACGCAATACAATTTGTTTAAGGGCCACGGAGCCACATATAAAGGACAGTTGGGAAGGAAGGATTAACAACAACCTACTGTCAATTTCTCTGAGCAATACAAAATACATAAGGTATTTCACAGGTCAACTTACAGGTACTATTGCAAATGGCAGAAGGGGATAATGGAGACAGAGAGCACTGCTAGTTTCTCAAACATCCAGGGCAGACCCGCTGAGGACAGGGAAGAGCTCTGTGCCGTGGCAGAGCGAGGGTTAAGTGGCGAGCAGAGTGGAGGGTCCCTGCGGAACTGCAAAGCTGCTGACTCACAGACGCTCAATAATCTCCCCATTCTGACACTGTCAGCAGTCCTGGCCAGCCTGCCTGCCCGCGCTGAGCTGAGCTGTGCTGGCTGGGTATTGATTCATTCGGAAAGGCACAGACAGAGAGAGACACACACACACACACTTGTCCACGCCGGGCACAATCCTCTACTGCAATGCTAAGACAAAAGCAGAGAAGCAGTTTTAAAGCTCAAGAGTATCATGAATCATTATCATCACGTCATTCAGCTGACACTGCTATTCAAAGCGAATGACAGATGCTTTGGGCGGGAGAAATTCGTTAACAGCTGCTGCAGAATCACTTTAAACAGGATCTCGGACTCCCCATCAGAAAAGGAAGAGCATGAGCAGGTTCAGTAATTTGCTCAGTATGACACTGAATCAATAGGGTCTTCTGAACCCTTCGCCACGAAGGCATCCTATAGCTCACAACATCTGGACCATCAGCAGTCCACAGATCAGTGCCACGCAACTAAAACACTCAACTCTGTGGTTGTAAATTATTTTTTAGATGTATTTTGTTGTTTTGAAACATGTGCCATCGGCGCAGTGAGCCAAGCCAGAGGACTGGAATCTATATTCCTGGTCTCCACAGCAAGGAACCAGTCAGAGCATCTGGTGCCTTGCACTTATAGATTCACTGTATTTATATAGAGCTCTACATCAATCAAGGTTCTCAGAGCAACTTTAATCGATCAGTCAATTGCAACTTCCATCTGGGTGACATGGCCCCAGTGCCCTCCACTGAGCAGACCGGGGGAGGAGTGAGACTCTGTTTCACCAGTTCAATTAAGGGCGGATTTGAGGGCGTGCGGACTGTGCAAGCTCAAGATGGGATTCCACTAGGACACCAGGGTTTAAACTCTCTTGGAAAAGTGTCGTGGGACCTTTAATGGCTGGGTTGTCACTGATCAGGCCCAGCCTCGTGTAGCTTCCGCGATCTAACGCAGTGAGGCTTGAAGGCGCCAGCTCGTTCTGCGACCGTAGGGCGAAGGAGCCAGTCTCAGGGTGCAGTGGAGCAACGCTCCGGGCATGGCCACAGCTACGGCACGTTACGACATCACATCTGACGAAGCCTGACAGATCACCTGGTCCGTCTTTATCTGCAGGCACTACTGCCAACAAGAGGGGTGGCAGACTTCCAGCCCCCCCTGAGACGTGCCCCAGACTGAAACCACAGCTGACACACAAGCAGCTGAAGATGCTACACACAGGGCAGGGCAGGGCAGGGCGATGAACTGCTTCATCACTCCTCGTGATATTTCGCTTGATGACATTAACGAAGTGGGTCAAACTGTCATGATATTGTATGCTTGTGACTTAAGTGTCATTATTTTTAATTCTTTCATTGCCTATTCTAGATCTCCCTTCACTTTGGATAATTTCCAATTCTGGTGTGTGTGCTGTGTTAAGACCTTAGAAAGTTTCAGCTCCTCAAAAAGCCTTGTGTAACTGCTAAGGTTGTAAAATACTGTGCTTTGAACTGTACTGCCTATGAGCAGTTTCCTGAGAAAAAATATTTTTATTGAGATTTACCATCTGTTTTGCATTATCATTTACATTCCTCTGTTGCATTAATGTTATGTCTTAATCGCAAGAACAGCCTTTATAAGATAAAATTCTGCGAGTTGGAATGCTAAAATCAGAGCAAGCATATTTGCCACCCTTTATAATGCCCTTTCCCTATTTCAGATACAGCCAGTCTTCCCTGGCAAGGAGTCTGCTCGCAACATACAGTGATCCTTCTGTACATCAGAACCAGCTGACCCTGACGTGGTGGACAGCTGAAAGACAATTTGATCTTATTACATCCAATCAGCGACCACCTCCTTATGCATACTTTGAGGGATACTGCCCACCCGAAGAAAACTGACCACAAGTGTCACAAGCTCTGGCTGTCCTCTGCACTACAAACCTGGTAACAAAAAAGTCAATGAAAAAGTAATGAAAAACACGGATCAAAATGGTCCATTACTGGAACACATCAAATCTGGAACATCTGAGATACTGTGACGCATGTTTTTAATTCTATCATCCCTCCCCTAACACACAGTAACAAGATGAACTTCCAGATGTTTTTTTCCCTGCAGTGTAGGGAGTTGCTTTCCTTTTTTACGGACTTTAAATACACTTCGGATCATTTTCCAAACTGACAATTAGAGAGTTTTGAAAAGAAACCCTCCTTCGGTTCCAAGCATGCTCTATACTTCCGGGTACTGCTCATCGTAAAATCCAGGTGATTTTAGGGTGACCTACAGGACTAGCTGGACAGGGGCTCCCCAGGACCCGGGCTGGAGAGCCCTGCTTTACACTGTCTTGTGAAAAACGTTTCATCCTTAAACCTCACAAATTACTTTAAGAAAACAAGGAACACCTTTTGCCTGGGAAGGCTCTGAAAAATCCACCTGAACAAAAAAAAACATTTCTCTTTTACAATACTACAAATATCCAAGACTATACGCATGGGGCTTATGTAGCACCACAGATATGAGGAGACGCATTCCAATGCCCAATCCCCTGCCTGCGATTAACGTGCCCGGAATTTCCTGCCCTTGGCGTTACGACTGTTATTCCTCTGTTCCGAGACAGTGTGAAAACGTGTGTGCTGGGGACATATGAGCCATGGTGGGCTCTGTTCGCGGTAAGTGGGACCCTATCAGACGCCTCCGAAAAGAAATCTACACTGCAGAGGAACAGGAGGCCCCAGGGCAGACAGATGTGGAACAGGAGCAATTTGAAATCTTGGTAAATGATCCCAGCTTCTGTAGAAAAAAAACCCCACAGGGCTTTCCGGGTGGGTGGGGGGGGGTGTTTAAGAGTCTGGCCCGTGACACAGCAGACGAGCGGCCCCTGCGACAGAAGCCAGAAACACTGCTGCCTTTATCCCGCCGGATTCCTGCCCCGCTGGACGAGCAGGATGAAAGGTCGCCCCCGCGGCGCGCAAGCCGAGCCGCCCCTGGGGGCAGACGTCCCGGTCAGCTGCAGTTTCATCATCTCCCCCGGGGGCGCGGGGGCCCCGGCTCGCACCTGCCTC